AAAAAAAGATAGGTCAGAAATTTATTGGAAGTTAATCCTCATTAAGATTTTACCAGATGATGATTTTATTACCGGTATTATGTGATTTGGCTATTAGTTTAGGTTGCAATCTCCGATTTTTTTTCTTATTTGTAGAATAGAATTGTTCATATAATGTCTGTATAATTTTTGACATTCAGTGATATGTGTGTACAGATATTCTTCCCTCTTTCAAATGTTTAAATGTGATAAATTCCGTTACCTGAAAAGGAAAGAACTCCACGTTTTGTGTATTCCGTTTATCCATGGAGGAAAATTATCTCAGAATTATATTAATATGTATTAATGATTTTCACAGAACTTTTCAACTTACTCTAAATTATGAACATACCTCTTACTTTTCAAGATTGTGCATTTATTTACTTAGTTCATTCTGTAAATAACAGTGTTAAAATAATCATGCTTGCAAATCAACAACAGATATAGCTTGCTACGCTTAAAAAACTACAGATCTGTTTAATGTTATAAATTTGATTACTGTTTAAGCTTGAATTAAAAAAATTAATATGAGGACAAAATCTCGTAGTGATATTTACAGACTGTCACAAATTGTATTTTGTTATGTATAAACATGCACAAAGGGTATAAAATGATTAACTGTTTTTTTGTGAATTTGAATGAAACTTGACACAATCAAGATTTTCAAAACTTTAATGAAGTAGAATGTAATACATATCTTTTTATTGACCGAGCATCAAAACATTCTATTATTGTAAGTCACAGATTTTGATATAGTCTTCAAAAGAATTTCGTTTTCTTGTGTAAATTCAACATGTTCAATTAGAGAAGAAATCTTGTTAGTTTTGTGGATTATTAAAAATATATTTTTCAGAATTCTTTCTAAAATATTTTTCAATTCTTCCTTTGATCTGTAGCATTAATTAGTTGGAATTTTCTTTGGATGTATCAGTGATGTAGAAATTGACTTGAACTTAAGTGAACTCTCAAATATTACAGACAAGCTGCTATGACACTTATTCCACTTATCTGGCTGCATTATTGTAGCTCTCTGAGACAGAAAATTTTGATGTTTATTCCATATTTCTGATATGTCTGTCCAAAATTTTATTTCTTGGAGAGCTAAATGTACCATTTTTCCAGTTTCAAATAAATGTAAAGACTTTGAAATTGTTAAAAAAATAAAAGAATTTCAGATATTTGAAGTATTATGAATTTTAGCATAAAAGGTAGTACAAAAGATTGGATATCAATTTATTATGCTTTTCCAAATTTTCAAAATAATTGTTAGACTTGGCCAAAATTTGTTTAAAAAAGTGACATGTAAGAGTGTTTGAACTTTGTTGATATTTGTCTGTTATTAGTTGTACAAAGGTGCAGGTAGTTTTATGAGAGATGTATGTGTAAAATATTTATTTCTCAAAGTGGAAATCTTCCATGAAATACTTCGTTCAAACTGGTAATGGAAACCATTTTTATTTTTTAAAAATGTGTATCAAACTTTTATAAAGTAAAGTGAGAAAAATAAAATATGTTGATAAATATATGAAACTTTTTAACCCTTTTATTTTTTGTTTGCTTATTTAATGTTATGTTGCCCATTTAGACAATCACAAGAGCACAAGTGCACCAGGAGTTTTAACTCACCTCAACACAATGTAATCAATTTGATTCTACCCATTAGACCCTCATTTAGCTTCGGTTTCCCAGTTCAAGTTTAAGTATTTTAAATGTTTATTTCTCGTTTAGTGAATGTTAGTCCATCCTGACCCAAACTAGCCGGGATGAAGTCTCTAGGGATGGACACTACCAGACGTGCTTTGGATTTTGGTTCTGACACATACATTTTCGAGATGAGTGTTTTTCGGTAATAGCTCTAATTATGTGACTGGTTCTGATTAATCTTTTATGGATGATGCAAATAGGCATGGACGCAAATAGGGCTATTTATTGAGCCAATACTTTCCATACAATACGATATGGAAAGCTCATACTTTTACAAAGATTGACGTAGACCCTATTACAAGGGTCATGATAGAGACAAATTCAAGGTCACCTAAATCAAAGTTAACAGTTAGCATCAAAGCATGTTCCCTATAACTGAGTGTTTCCTGACTGGTACTCGCAACGTCAACTAAATGCATATGGTTGGAGAAAGTTTGCACAGTTAGGTACTCGTTACTTCAACAAAATGGTGGAGATAGGGTGTACAGTTAGCAGGTTCAATACTTTAATGGATTCATTTGTGACAGAGCAATGTAACAAAGTTGTAAAAACAGTTGATTAAAAAGTGATTTGATAAAAGTGCAAAATATAAAACTATTTTGATTTGCATAAAATCCATTATGTAATAATTATTAAAATTTAAAAACGAATAAATGGTGCTCTTAATAGAGACAAATTCAAGGTCAAACTAAAAAAATGTATTTTACAGTTAGCATATATTTGATCTTTAACTGATTGTTTTAAGAGATTATCATTATTGACAAATGGTGGAAGGCTACTGGTACTCCCTGAAATTCAACCAAAAAATAGGAACATTCTTTAGTTTAAACAAAAACATATGGACTCTCTTTTTATTGACATTCAAAATATAATTTGTATAGATTAATTCCATACTAAATTTTGCACAATTTTTTACTTCAACAAAATCTTAAAAAGTTCTCTCAGGTACCTCTACTTGCAAATTGGTGGAAAAACACAATTATTCAGGTTGTCAATTTAAATGTAAATCTATGAAAATAATGCAGATTTCTGAAAAAAAGTTTTTGTTATTTATCCTTAACTCATGATTAGAAGGTGAAGAGACTTATCATTAATGAAAATATATGTAAGCGCTGACTGTCAATCGATGTGGCCCGAACAAAAATTCACAAGCCCCGAAAAAATAAGAACATTCTAATATATTTTTACTTCAATAGAAAAACCATGTAGGAACAAGTTTTGCTGGAATTTCCAGCTCTCTTGACTTCTGTTAATGAAGGTAAAAAATTCTTTCGGGAAATAGATAGAAAAGCAGAAGAATTAAAATCGGAGGAGGAAAAAGAAAAAAAAAGATTAGAAAAAAGAGAAGCAAAGGTAAAGGTGACTTGAAATTTTAAAATCTGTAAAGATGACATTGTAAAGTTGAGATTGGGTAACCCTAAGCAAGATTATAAGAAATTTAATTGTTTGGCATTCATATACATGTCAGAGATTTTTTTTCTGGACAACTGAGATTTTATGAATGGAATAGAGATAAAACTTATAGCATTTAAACGTTTATTTTTAGATTGATCTCTGTACTTTTTATCTCTGTATTTTCAAATTCCAGAGAAGGAGAGAGAAAAAGAAATTAGAAAAACAGAAAGAACAGACAAAGGTAGGTTCTTATGCAACTGTTTTGTGTCAACAGTAAAACGCAGTTAGCAAGCATTGAATCAAACAGTCACAAATAATGTTGTACCCTTAAGAGTACACAGTAAGTAATGCCTAGGTCACATTTCCCGGTCGGTAGCCGTATACCGGTGGTAATCGGTAGTAATCCGTGGTGTTAACGATGCCCCAACATCGGCCAAGTAGTCCTTTAAGTATCGATCACATTATCCAGCAATGAGGTATGCGATGGGACAACCAGTGCGTTTTATGAGAAAAATGGCGTGGTTTTGATGCATTGCTAATCATAAAACGATGTTCCAGGTTAATGGTCGATGTATATTACATCGCTCATACATTGGTGAACAGTGTTGGTACATCGGTCGACTAAGATCCAATGTTTGCTTAAAGTATTTCAAACCAACTGTTATTTTCATGATTCTTCAGTTTTGAATCTGAGCAAATATTTTTTTTTACCAAAGCAACAACTTGCAGGTTAATAATTGATTTGTTACTAGAAATATTAATAAGTAAATTACAGTGGACCTTCAGATATCTGGATGTCAGATAACCGGACGCTTCAGTATGTGGAACAGAATTTTTTTAACCGTTTTTTTTTTACCTGTTTAACTGGTAATTCAGGTATCGGGACGCTGTGTCCTGCTTCACATAAACTGACAAATTGACTAAGAACCAAAGCGTTCAGATAAATGAGCTTCCACTGTATTAAGTTTGTCACAAGTAATTCCTGTCTATGAATAATTGTTGGTTTCCAGTTGTTTATTAATACGCTATATTTCCATTAGTGAACTCTTCAGAATTAGAGGCGCGTTTGGTGAACGTTTTAAACACACCATTCAAGATGGACAAAGCATGGCATTGCAGATTATACAATACATGCCAGTATCAATCCAGTTTCAAATGTTAAGTGCATTTATCATTTTAACTAAAGAATAGAAGAACTAAAACACATATGAAAAAGAGCAAAAAATACTAACTCTATCGTCCATTAATAAAAATACGACATTTCCGAGGTATGCGTATTGACTTTAAAATGTGCCATTACGATAAATAGATACATACGATCACCAATAGATGTAAATTAATATCGTTTCCATCTCTACTCTTGATTTAAATATAGTCCACAACAATAAATGCATTTAGTTAGAATTTTTTCATCGACATTCAACGGTTATTTAAATGTTCATGTTGCATTTGTCCCAGAAATCCCGTGAGATTCGTACATTTTCCGACTTTTTCACAAAAGAGCGCACTAAGAACTATAACTCTTCAATAGTGGAAATAGAACGTATTAAAAGAATTGCGGTAGAAGTATCAAGTTTGAAAATGTTGATCAAGTTTGTACAAATCACAGACTCCCCCTCCCCACCCCACCCCAGGGGAGGTTGGAGCAAGTTTTCTGGAGAACTTACTGGTGAAGATTGTTGCCCTTTGTGTCATATGTATAGCCACGTGTGTTAGTGATTAAGGTTTTTGTACAGTACGTATGGTACATTCCATTACTCTGTGCTTTGTCTTCCAGATTCTTATAATGGCTCAGATGACTCATCTGATGAAGATTCTGATGATGAAGATGATATTGATTCAGATGAAGATCAATTAACACATTTTTATTCCGATAGAATAGGATTCAAAGATACAAGAAAATCCAAATCAGGTAAAACTTCTAATTTTTTATGACAACACGGAATCCCTTGGTGGATTGGAAAATATAATGTAACCAAATCAGTATTTTAGAATCTAGAAATTGTATGCAAAATCAAACATTGATACATTCTTTTGTTTTAGGAGGTGAATCTCATTTTAAAAGATTAACAGTAGATGTAAGTAATATTGAGAAGTCTTTATAACTGTAGAATTCAGATTTTGTAAAGAGTTTTTATTGAGTACTTGTTGGTTATCTTAACACTTCTGATTAGAAGGTGAAGAGACTTATCATTGATGAAAATAAGTGCTGACGGTTGGTTCAAGTTGTTGGCCCTGACAAAGATTTAAAAGATTGACTATCCTTGAGAAAATAATAGCATTTTCTTCTAAAAAAAATATTTTTTCATTTAAAATGAAAAACAATCATGTACATCGTAAGAACAATTTTGGCTGGAATTTGTTGCTCTTTGCAATTGACTTTTTGTTAATGATGGTAAAAATTCTTTCAGGAAATAAATAGAAATGCAGAAGAATTAATATCTGAGGAGGAGAAAGAAAAAAGAAGATTAGAGAAAAGAAAAGCAAAGAAAAAGGTGACTTGAATATTTCACAATCTGTAAAGATGATTAGCTCACCTGAGCCGAAGGCTCAAGTGAGCTTTTCTGATCACATTTTGTCCGTCGTCCGTCCGTCTGTCTGTCTTCTCTCTGTCTGTCCGTCTGTAAACTTTTCACATTTTCGACTTCTTCTCAAGAACCTCTGGGCCAATTTTGACCAAGCTTGGTACAAAGCATCCTTGGGTAGAGGGGAATTTAAATTGTAAAAATGAAGGGACATATCCCCTTGCAAGGGGAGATAATTAAGAAAAGACAAAAATAGGGTTGGGTCATTAAAAAATATTTTTCTCAAGAACCACTGGGCCAGAAAAGCTGAAACTTATGTGAAAGCATCCTAGTGTAGTGTAGATTGTTGTTGAGTCACGTTTTGTCCGCCGTCACATTATGTCCGCCGTCACGAAATGTCCGCCATTTTTTCAGAAAAATCGTCACGTTATGTCCGCCGTCACGAAATGTCCGCCTCTTTTTCAGAAAAATTGTCACACTATGTCCGCCGCCACGAAATGTCCGCCTCTTTTTCGGAAAAATCGTAACACTATGTCCGCCGCCACGAAATGTCCGCCTTTCTCCCGAAAAAATAGAAATATTAGGTCCGCCGCCAAGAAATGTCCGCCTTTTCTCCCTAAAAAATCGTCAAACTATTTCCGCCGCCACGAAGTGTCCGCCGATCATCCAAAATTGTAACGTTATGTCCGCCCCTACAAAATGTCCGTCCAAGATTGAAAATAGTGTTTTATTTTTTCTTTTCGGTGTTTAATATATGTATCTCTAACCAAACGTCTAATAATGTATGTCATCAGAAATATCCGCCAAGAAAAATTAATAACAATGGTCTGTTCTTTGCTACAAATGATTTCATTGAACTACATTGTTTCGGTCAATTAATGGAGATATGTTTCATTTCTCTTGATTGTTTACAGTTTTGAGAATTTAATGGCATGGTGTCAGAAAAATTTAAGCCTTACCCTTTGTTTTGTTGCCAGTTTTTAATTGTAATAACAAAGAAAACATATTGTGAACGGCAGGAGGCGGTGGGTTATTTGATATTAAAGTTTAAAGCAGCCTTGGTGCTCTGCGGAGTTTAAAAAATAAATTTAAAGTATTTTACATTGGCAGGGAATATTTATATATTTAGTGTTCAAAAGCTTAGCAAAATTGCAATATAAACTAGAGGTACTGTGAGCAATGAGCTCACTAAATGATACCCCCGCCTCCCATATGAATATAATGGCAGTGTCCATGTTTTGCTCTGGAAAATCAAAAATAAACGTCAGATCAAAAAGTAAAATAGGAGGTACACAATGGCAATATGTAATTAAAATCTGTTAAAGTTTCATTAAATTTCCTTCAGTGGTATGAGAGGAGTTGCGGATAAGAGATGGGTACCCCAAAGCGTAACACACGGACAGACGGACGGAAATACCGATTTCTATATACCCTCCCACTTTTCAAGCGGGAGTATAATAAAAATTAAAATTGAATAAATAATCGTGTCAATGTTGTATCTGACCGAATCCTGATTGACGAATTTTGAAGCGCAGAGAATATAAGGATTTTCGTTATATGTAAAATTTTAATTTCTCACAAATACGAAATTTATGCTGCAGCAGACAAGGATAAAGCATTTTTTTATAGTGTGCCAAAATAAAGAGAAATGCAACTTAGCGGATTTGGATGGAATTGGGGGGTGGGTGGGTCAAAACCCCCCTTAAGATATGTCTGAGAGAGAGAAAGAGATTCAAAATATTTGTTGTGCTTTAACCTAAGTACCGGTAATTGTCTCGTAAAGGCTACTTTGAATTTATGTATGAAAAAAATCGGTTGTTCAAATAAAATACGCGCCTTCAATATTGCGTGCACTGTTTTAATGTGTAGATTTTTACAATATATATTTTATTAATAACAGATCAAGTAATTTCGGTTTGTTGCCTCATAATATGAACATTGTGGTTTGCCGCTTGAGTCTAACTAAAAGGTTTTGTGTAGATATAACGAAATATGACGAGTTTAAACAGAAGTTCGAGCAACTAACACTTGTGCCGAAATGTCCGGGAATTATGAAAAAATAAGTTATGCTTGTGTATTATATACTTTATGTGTATTTTTATATAAGTTTACGTATTTCCTTTTCATTTACCGAGAAGTTCGGTAAAATAAAAGGGTAAATACGTTAAGTGCGACGTTTCTACGTCTGTATTCATTGGTATCTTTTCGAATAATTTAATGGCCCTTAAAAGGGCCGTTTATTGTCAACTCCTAGGAGCGACTCTTAATGGTCTTGCTTATTGAAAGCAAGAAGAGGACTGTTCCCGCCTCGTTGAAGTGGATCTCATCGGGAAGGTAATGTCTGGGAAATTTGACATCTATTATGATGTAGGTTCGGCCAAGGATTTTCTTCATCTTATTGTTAACAGTTCTACGTCTTGCATCAAACTCCTCACGCTGCAAAGGAAATCCAAATTTTCCTCTAGAAACAATCTCTGAGAAGAAAATCTCGGGTTGTCTGCAGCTGGGACTCAAGACTTTAATTAAGGCTCGTCAGACAGTCAATGACTGTTGACGCCTTGGCTCCACTGGAAATGTCGTTTCCCCCTAAGCACACTACAACGATGTCCGGGCTGTACCTCAACATCTTGGAGATGATATTTGGACAAGACTGAGAAGCTGTCATCCCACCAACTCCAAACCACCCGACTTCAAATGGCATGACAAAGTCTGTAAAGCTTGAAGCTCGCTTCACGTAGGAGGAACCGAATATGGCGACTCTCATGGTGGCTATAAAATAAAATCACAAATTTCACAGTTATAACAAACTCGAGGCAAATTATGTAATTAAATAATGATTACCTTTTTTGTCATCTATGATTTAAAAGCAGTTATCAAATTTAAAAAATTGCTATTATATATGATCTTAAAAAATGAACTTTTTGAAGTTATACTAATTTTGCTTTGAAATCAATTACCGTGTCGATCAAAAATGGCTAATTGGTTATTAATTATGCCTAAAACAACCTCAACATGAAGTACGCTGGGAGTTCAAAATAACTGTCAAACTATATCATCATTACTGCTACTCCTAATTTAAATTTTGTTCGTACATCAACATGATCAATAAGACGATTAACTCTCATTACCGCTTCATACACGAATTCGTAATCGATGACGCAGAAACTGAGTCCTATATTTATATATATAGATTAATCATAATGTTGTCAAAGAAAGTTGGAAATCTATTTAATTCAGTTTGTTATCAAAAGTTAAATACAATAGGACTTTCAAAAATTCCCGTGCGTGTAGATTTGAAAGACACAGCCCTCAGTAATGTGTCTTTAAGATAATAAAGTGTGGAGAAAACCTACCCAAATAACAATAAACCTTTTTTAAGTGATCAGGGAATACATCTCACATGCATGTCCATGTTTAAGGTGCAGACAAACTGGAGGTGCATTGTAGCGATATATGTATTTACGAAGAGGATACGAATAGGAATAATAATTTAACCCCCCCACCCCAATAAAAATGTTTTAAAAAACCGTAACGACAGCCACTACAAATGTATATCGTCTGATGAAACACGACGAATTATCATCACGTTGAGTTTCAAACAATACATAATAGATTGGATTTAATAAATGGTTTCAAACAAAGTTATCAATGTCTTGATTGTAGGGAATTCAGAGAGACAAATAGTTCGCTGTCTTGATAAATAGCGTGTCCCAATATCAATAATTATCAGTAATTACAGTACTTGCAAAACGTCCATAGTTTGAAATGAAACTGGATTTTTTTTCATGATTTAAACATATTAAAAGCATTCAGTGTACCTAAAAATAATACGAGCTTCAATATTAAACAACTTTAAATTAATGTTCATAGCATTTTGTTTGGAAAGGGGAGAAGTGTCTCGCTGAAAACAAATGTAAATTTTTACTTCGTTATGCAAGACCAAAAACAGCACTGCTTATCCGTGTTTGATCCCGAGATCAAAACGAATGAATAAAAAATAATAATATTACACGCACATTTCTAGAATATTTCTGACAATTTAATTTTGTGGAGGCTTTCAAAGTGTCCTGCCCTGTTTTTCAATCTAGATTTTTTAAAATTGTTGTGCATCGATCATATACCAAGTTTTTTAAAGTTAATACCAGTTAATATTGAATAAAAATCACGTGACTATTGTTAGTAGAGAAATATTGAAATAAGGGTTGTCGGCAGACTTATAGTATATTCTAGGAGAGTTCTGCCAGTAAAACTGTTGCCCAACTCTTGCCACGTGGAGGCATCTCCTGTTAAGAGTCTGTTTTTTTTTTTTTTTTTTTTTTAATAAATAAATATATTATACTCTATTTAAATAAATAAATAAATAAATAGATATTTTTTTCTGTTACATGTTAACCTAGATTTGCGCGAATGTGGCTCCAACTGGAAACCAGCTCATAAGGAGACAGGTCGTACCACATTTTCCCTAATGATGTGTTTGGCGCGAATGGTGGCTCCAACTGGAAGCCTGATCAGAGAAAAAAGGCCATACCACCATATACTGACAGTGTTTGAAAATTAATAAATTAATAAGCACGATATTGAACGCGTATATACAAGGATATTTTTCACGTTTTATCCGTTACTTTTTAAATTTAAAATCGACAATATAATACCATCCGGCGATTGCTGTTGCCAGTATCTCGATGTAACCATTAATCCACCGGGAAGAAATCGGTCGCAATATATTCCGTAATTCCATCATTACTCCACTACCCGAACCCGACACACGGCCCAACTGACGAACAGACCAGTTGTGCCTTACGCCCTCTGCGAATACTGACCTACCTTCCAATAAAATCATGACATTTTCATTTAAGTATACTTTAGGACACAATTTATGAAGGGTGCCTAGCATTTGCTTGAAGTGTGTTGAAACCCTTATTAAAGTCAAAAACATGTTAAATTTTTTGTATATTACAAAGGATAAAATATGACGCTGAATGAAGTAAGGGAAATCAGTGAATTGCTTTTGGTTTACATTTTCTGTTTCCGGAAAAATTTGCTTACGAGCCCTGACATAATCACTTGGTGTAAACTTTTTAGGGGGTCGCACGTTAGACCTTAATCGGACAGGTGATAATACTGGTGGCTGTTTGTCTAAATTTGAATCGTTTATCCTATCTGTAATTGGAGATAAAGAAGGTGGAGATAAATAAAATGATGAGTTAAGACTTGGGGGAAATAACCTGTCTTTCTCTGTGGAGCTCAGATTGTTTGTGTCGGAGATTGCTGTTGGGGAAAAGCGTTGCAAAGTCGGCGTTTCCAATGCTGGCGGAACAGGAGAATCGATGTGGTCATTTGCAGTGGTACATGTAATGTCTTGTCTCTGAAAAACAATTCTTTTGTGTTTACAACAGATTTTAAGTATATAATGCTTGATCATGCCATTAATATATGTGAATTATAGGCCTAAATGAAATCATGCGCGGATCTAGAAGGGGGGGGGGGGGTTCGAATTTACCAGGTAAAGAAATGTATATACTAAAACAAGAAAATAGTGACCATGGACCCCCCTGATTAACGCGAATATGTGGTGAAATGGGTATGATGAGTGAAAGATTAGAGACAATAGAAGTCACCACTACCCCCCCCCCCCCCCCCCTTACGAAATAGGTTTTTGAAGTTTGGGCGAGTCCCCCCCCCCCTTTTTTTTTTTTTTGCTTGTCGAGAAATTTCTGGGATTGGGTTTTTATTTTTGACTGAGGTGGACCCCCCCCCTGGAAAAAATTTCTGGATCCGCGCCTGGAAATCATGCAAAGGACAACAGTTATGTGTAATGTGTCCCTACTGTTTCAAACGGGAACATTGACTCAAAACAAATGTATACATGACTGTATGTTATTCTTGATATATTAAGCTCAAATAATTAAAACAATACTACATGTAACCCACAGAAGGACTAATAGCACAGCTGTACATTGGAATGTAAAGATTTGATCTCTTTTTAGTATTTCTTATGTTACTGTATGTATCCAGAATAGGTCTAGAAAAATAAACAAGCGTATAAAAAATCCAAATATAGTCTTTGAAAATTCGAAAAATTAAAACTATAATATTAAGTGTGGCATGCACCAGAATGATTCGATACCTCGAATGTAAATTATCAGCACGTATTTCAACTGTTGTTCTATTTATTTATATTCTTTTTGGTGAATTTCGACTCAAGGGCAGTGATGCCCATTAGTCCTATTCAAAGGTACATTCTATTTCCGCCATAGAAGAGTTACATACACTTCTTAGAGCCCTATCATAGGTGTCGAAAGATTTCAAAGAGAGGGTTGATTCAGGGGGGGGGGGGTTAAACCATGCTCTTTTGTGAAAATTTGGAAAATGAACAAATCTATTTATCTTATGGTATCATCTAAATACAATACACATGCCTCTGAAATGTCGTATTTTTATTTATAATCGATAAAATTAGGGTTCTCACTCTCTTACATGTCTTTAAGTTCCTTTAAGTTTTAACTGGAGCGGCAGGTACATTTAAAATTTGAACTGAGTTTGGCATGTTTTATACCATGCTGTCCTAGTCAGTCGACCAAACGCGGCTCTATATTCTGAAAAGTTCACTAATGGAAATACAACGTAATCTCAATCTCATACTCCCCGTTGAGGCCTCATCTACAGAGAGACAAACGATCTCTGGCGGAAGTTTGATCTCAATCTATCACAAAAATATCATAATTTTATCAAGGGGCAGACCTACCCTGAAGGACTTCTAGGCCAAAATTCATAGAAAATCAACCCTTTAAGGAACAAGATAAGATGTTTCAACCAATTTTGGAGGTTTATTGTAAAGTTGTAAATACTTGATTTAACGTTACTTGTAAAATACAAACTAGTGTGGGAAAAATCTGTCATTGCGGTAGAAAAAAATTTAAGATTCGTTTCAAATGTTACTTTTTCCATGAAACTGTTTTCTCATGCTGGTCAATTCTTTTGTTTTAGTGAATATATAGAAATAAATTATATGAACATTGGCTGGCTTCTTCTGATTAACTTCTAAATCTGAAGATTTCATCGTTAAGTTATCCAGCATTGTTTTCTCAATCTGTCTTACACATTCACGATACTTTATTTTATAAACTTTATAATTTTAAAAATCCAATCTTGCAATCGTATTTAAATTCATAGTTTATAGCTACATGTACATATTCCGTCATCCTGGCATGTAGTTTCTGAACATATAACTGTGAATGTGTGTACTTTTGATGTTGTGTAATTTGTTTTCCGGACACTTTTTGTCGCACTCTAAAGATAGTCAAACATGTAAAATAGGAATTGAAATTTGAGGCTTAGCCCTCGTGCGTTTTTGTTAGTTTAGCCATTCCTTTCTTTCATTTTTCTCCCGAGGCTTATGTATTGTACCTGGGTCATTCTACGGATAGAGGCCCAAACGACTTTCAAAAGTCGTCTTTTATCAAATAAAATAATTGGGTAAAAAATAATACTCTCATAATATTACTGATATTTTAAGAGGAATTGAAGACTAACATTTATTTATGCCATTCTACTTTCTTTCATTTTTCTCCCGAGGCTTATGTATAGTGAAAACAATTTGGGCTAAAAAATAATCATTTCTGATTAATATTACTGATATTTGTTTCGGTAATGACAGTTTCAAAAAAATATTTTGAATTTGTTAAATTCAGAATTAATTAACATTCTTGAACCTTTGTTTCCGAGGTACTTTTATGTAGTTGTAGGTTTTGTTTTATACAATTATACCTTTATTAAAAATATAATATTCAAAATATTAGTCTGTTTATTAGCAAGTTAAGAGGAATGAAGACTCTAAGATTTTATGTAAAATAGGAATTGAAATTTCAGGAGTGTCTTTATGGTGTGTATGCGTTTTTATAGTTTCAAAATCAGATATTGCTCAAGTCAACACATACTAAAATATGTATTGTGACCCACCTTTCGTCTTTTATCAAAATAAACTCTCATAATAACTGATATTTTAAGAGGAATTGAAGACTAACAAGTATCTTGATACCGTACTCTGGGCAGTGTAGGTTTTGTATTTATACAATTATACCTTTATTAAAAATATAAGTATTCAAAATAAAAAAAAATCAAAATAGTCATTGTTTATTAGCAAGTTTAAGTAGATACAAGGGTTCGTTTTACCTATTCCCACTTTCTGAAAATCAGGTAGGAAAAAGTAACATTTTATGTGGGAATAGGTGGAATTTTTAAGTAAACCAAATGATTAAGTAAACTTAAAAACATATCAACAGTTGATCAATGAACAACTGAAAGGAAAAATGGATTTTTGAAATTCTAAATCAGACTTTTTACTAATATTTAAAAGTAACATTGGAAATTTTTATTGAATTACTGATAAATGATTTTTCCCGTTAATTTATTTATTATATTTTCTAAAATTCAGCTATTTTAAATAAATGCATTTTTAAAACAAATCTTCCCATTTTACGTTTACACTTAAAGATACAAAAGGGGTTTGTAACCCTTTATTTTCAAATAATTAAATTTATTATAGCATTTTTTTGTATATGTATTGCATATATTGATTAAAATAAATAATTTTTTCTCAAACTATTTATTTTCTGTCTTCAAATGTATAGAATACAGGTAAATCCAAGGTGAGATGTAATTACTGTAATAAAAACAGGAATAGGTGGAATTGAGATTTTTAAAAAGTGGGAATAGGTAGGAGGCACCGATGGAAGACATCGCACTGATTGAGGGGCATGTCAAAATTACATCAAACGCAACCGAGATACCCCCTTTCAGGTAGAGACAGGATGTGTACTATACATTTAATGACACCTGTGATTCTAAAACAATGAAGCCCTTTTCAACAGACACCTGGGATTCACACCTTTTGTTTTATAGCATGGGAAAAATTTTAACTTCAATACAATGAGATTGCATTCAATTCCTGAGTTTCAGGAATTTTGAAAGGTTCTCTCTCCATGTATTTAAAAAAAAAAAATAGATTACTGATTCTATTCATAAACAATTAAACATGTCCGAACTGCTTATTCTATTCTTTCATTCTTGAAGCAAATAGTTACAATTTTGAACCATCATGAAAACAATATTTAAAAAAAAAAACACATCCCCCTAACTATAAAGATGCTAAAAACAAGAAATTGCGTGCATTGTATAAACCGACAGATGCATTTAATTTTATGAGAAAAATTAACTTAATTAACTAAGTTATTTATAAAATTAGAAACTGAAATATTTCGCTTCGAAAAAAAATTCAATTTTAACCAATTTGCATTTTATTTTTATATTAAAATGATAATATTATGTAGTATATGTACATTATCCCTAACAAATCAATACACATTGGTTAAAATTGAAAAAAAAAGTACTTCAAGAAATGATAATTAGTTAAAATAAACATGAAGAATGATAAATAGATAACATTGCTGGATTTGAGAACATTCTGCTTGAAAATATATCTGGAAGGACTTTATCTTATAAACAATGAGAGGATGGTAATAGAAAATTAATATAAATACATCATCAGTCTGTTTTAATTATTTTACAACATAATTATACTTACCCGATAGTCTTCATTTTTCTTATCAACCTGTCACGTGGCGCAGCAGGGGTCAAAGTAAAAACAGATACCTACCTGCGGCCAGGTGAGACCCCGCAACGCGTTCCCCATTGGATGAAGTAAACACGTGATCATTTTTAAAAGTTAGAAAGGGACATATTCTGTATTGGTTTGTTCAAGAAGGTAAAGGCCTTGGGCCAGTTTTACAAAAGAACTTTAAGACCAAAAAAAAAAAATCAAAATTTTGCCAAATTTAAAAAGATTAAAATAAATTTGATTTAAAGTTTATTAAAAAGTTATATGTACACATTTATATATTTATATATATAGTTAAAAAGTCTCAGTTTTGTAAAAGAAAGGGCGTACTTTAATTTCGTGAAGGCGGACATTACGAGACGATATTTACAATCCGAAATATTGAAGGACATTTAACGGCGGACACTGTGTGATCAGTGACGAGTTTACCGAGAAAAGACGGACTTTTCTTTGCGGCGGACATAATCTGACGATTTTTTATTTCGGAAGAAAGGCGACTTTTCTTGTCGGCGGACAATATTGCGTTTTGTTTTAGAAGGTATTTTGTAGCGGGGGACATAATATTACGATTTGTTTGGAAGAAAGGCGGACATTTTGTAGCGGCGGACATAGTGTGACGATTTTCTTGAAAAAGAGGCGGACATTTCGTGACGGCGGACATAGTGTGACGATTTTTCTGAAAAAGAGGCGGACATTTCGTGACGGCGGACATAACGTGACGATTTTTCTGAAAAAGAGGCGGACATTTC